TTAGGCATCAGATTCATTTTATATATTTGTGATTATTTGACAACAATTTTCTGATGAGTTTATAAATAAAAATTGAATATCAATGCATTAAATGAAAGTACCCAAAACAAAGAGACCCTACACTAACATTTTGGCCATGAAAAAAATGTATATCAATGCATTAAAAGTTGTACTCAATTAGAATTGTCAGTTCAGTAATCAATAATCAATCTAGAAGTTCTATCGACCATAAGAAAGAAAATTTTATTAGGAAAAAGTGGATGAGTCACCAATGAAAATCATATAAGAAACCAAGTTTAGGACTTGATAATTCTACGGTATTAAGAAAGTTGATAAATACTTAAAAATAAGGATTTTAGTGTCATAGAGAATATAATGGTGCTCCTGTTAAAGTTACAAAGTTGGTATATAAAAAAATAATAATAATAATAATTAAAGTGTGGGCGGTTTTTGCGGGTTGCGGGTTTAACTCGCGACCCGCTCGCAACCCGTAAATTTGTCATATTTCAAGCCGCATTTGCCCACATTATGTTTGCGAAACTGCCCATTTATATACGAGTTGGGCGAATTGGGCGATTTGAGTGGTTCGGATAAACCGTTGCCCACCCCTAATTCCAACACTTCTACTCCTTCTAATTTTATTATTTTATTATTTTATTTTTTTGTGTCGCAGTTTAAATTTTACAAGAATTTGTGGGAGTTGTTGACTTATAAGGTTCAACACAAGTCTTTTCAATAATTTGAATAATATATTTTGAAAGATATTTTATGTATATAATTTATGAAAATATTAAGTTAATTTGATAATTATAATATTTTTATTTATTGTGTTTTGTCTCTACATAAATGGATGCTTTTTTAAAATATCTTTATCTATTTAAATATATATATATTTATAATATTATACAACGTGTACCCTTAAAAATATATATTATATCAATGTACGTAATATAATCACAATGTTCCATAATAAATATCGCAATATATTGTAATTTGTCACGCCAAAATGGTTGGTCACATTTCTTACCACAAAGGTTTGTAATATTTACGCCACACCAACATTCATATATAACATAAATAGTTTGTAACTTGGGATATCTACCCGTCTGTACTACTATTTGATCTTATCACCCACTATGTCCTAAATTAGAGTCTTATTATAATGCCCTCAAAATATAATACAAATAAACCATTCATATTATGAACATAATAAAATGATCTGCTTCATTTATCAGAGTTTCTATTATAAAAGGGAATTACATGTATTATACATTTATAAACATTCATTCTGAATCTACAGTATGTAATTCAAATTAGCGGTAACAAATAAATGCCTTATGGGCTTACATCTTTCCAAGATATTGCTTAGTTACAACAAAAGAAAAAGTCCTAGACTCTATACAAGTTTAGCCCTTGGCTTGAATAAACATTTAAGTACAAATATAACAAAAATGGAGCCATCAGCTTTCAATCCTCCCAAGCTATGACCTTGGAGGTGGCACGTCACTAGTACCTGAAAATGGTTTCCCAAGTAAGGTGAGCCAAAACCCAGTAAAGATAAACTAACACAATATATAAAGTGTAATTAAGATATAAGTGTCAAATAAATGTTCAATTTACATAACCAATTTACATTCATTCCATAACCAACCATTCAACATTAATATTTACATCTCAATACACTGTTATTCATTCATTTCAAATCAATTCATGAGTATAGTTCCTTGTTATCCAAACAACCCCAAATGAGACTACAACTCATTGGTTCACAATTTAATAACAACTATTGTTTAAACACTTCAATCTTCTTGCCATTTTACGGAATCTACATCCGAAGGAATCGGCATCCATATATATATATATATATATAAGATTTCGGGACTTTCACCCTAAACACTCCGGCCAACTTAATTTTACATGAAGTTCATCTCCTATCTCCTCTCAAACCCTCGAGTACATCCCATATCTCCTCCCAAACAAAGATACATATACAATATATTAAGAACATCATCATTTACAATGACCATCCATGACACATAATCAATAACTCAATCATACCGTCATATTCAATGACGTAAGTTAAGCGATAGGTTTCAATTCACCTAATCCACATGCAGTTTTTACAACAATCATAACTATCCTTCACCGATAGCTCAAAACAGATATTTCTAAACAGATATACAATCTTTTAAACAGATAATTTATCAAATTTTTCATAGGTGAGTGATTTAACAAATCCAATTACATCACTCACTCATACATCCTCCCAATTCCATACTTCCCATATCAATTTCATTATTTATACAAAACAATTTATTTAACTCAAATTAGGGCAAATCTTCTTTTTTTCCTCAAATTCAACCTAATAGTTAGATTCCACCATTTTAGCACTAAAGAAACTTCATACATAAGACCCCATATTCATTTTATAGATCAACATGGAAAACCCCTCTTTTAAACTTTGAACCCAAACCCTAGTTTATGCAAAATCACTCTTAAATCCCATCATCTATACACAACAACACATATCTAGGTTAAAAGTCATATTAAGGTGTAGAATATCCCTACCTCAAGAGTATAAGCTCAAAGGAGATGGAAAAGAACTCCAAATGTGCACAAAACCAAGCTTTGTTCGGTTGGAAAGGAAGCCCACAAGATGCTCCATCTTTTTCTCAAAGGATGTAGGGTAGAGGTGGTTGGATCTTGGAGTATTTGTAGACAGAGAGGGTGCCAGATTAGACTTTCAAGAAGAATATATCTGAAAAAGTGATGTAAAAAGTGCTTTTCGCGATCTGATATACGCGCAGTCCACTTGAGCGGAGATGTGTACGCTTGAGCGTAAGACACAACATTTTGTTCAACTCGAGCGCAATAAAGGCCGCTAGAGCGCCAAGACACAACAACAATGCACTACCCGCTGGGGTGTATAATACACACTTCCAGTATTTTACAAACAACAGACAACCCGCTCGAGCGCAAGGAATGCTGTTCGAGCGTGAAAAACACTCCTCTAGTACTTCTGCAGACGTGCCAAGTACTGGAAGTTTGCAACTTCCGCTCGAGTGCAACAAGGCCCGCTCGAGCTGGAGGATCAAAATTCTGGGCAACAACAATGTAGACCAACTAACAACCAACTTGTTCCAAACACGCCCAACATGTTTCAAAACTCAAATTCAAAGAGCTAAAGGAGGAAAACAAGACATAGACAACAATACACAATCATGGAACCCGAGTCCGAAATGCAACAAAGGTCAGGTCAATACCGGAATCGCTATACTTATTGTCCCATATATATGTTTTTTTTAATTTTATTTTTTACCCTTAAGTGTTTTATATTGTCCTAAATAATATTTTGTTCTCTCTTTCTCTCTCACAGAAAACTCTTCTCTTTCTCTACAGAATTTCATACTGCCATCACCACTAACACCATACCACCACCGTCACCATGGTTGTTCACCCACTATGGCCACATTATCGACCATCGTCACCTTTGTGGACCACAGCTACAACCATTATTCACCAATCATCTCCATTATCTTTTCTCCGTTGCTATCAACGTCATTTGCTTTAACCACCGTTCTCATTATCCTTTCTCGCCATCGTTGTCCCTCGCCTTACACCACTATCCTCTTCTTCGACACCTTCTGTCTCCATATTTCTCATTTATCATCGATCTATTATTTTCAACGCCAATCTTCACCGGCGAGTTTAGATTTGGCCATTTTCAATGCCAATCTACTATCTTTGATGTCGACCAAATGTCACAGCCCTCGTCGACGTCAAGATGTAGCACTGACATGGTCGCTGGAGCTCCTATCTGTTGTTTATACTAGTGATAAATTTATCCATAAATTTATTGAATATTTCTATTTTTATATTAAACTTGATAAATTAGCAATGATAAATTTATCATTTGTAATGGTGATGGCTAGATTTTCTTTTTATTATTATTTTTTTTTATAAATAGTCAGTGATAAATTTATCACTGAATGTGTCAATGATGAATTTATTACTAAATTTGACTTTTGATTCTTTGTCTTGATCTGTGAATGTGAAAAATAATAAGAACTGTTTTCTGGTAATGGCTCATTGTCTCTCTCCTTCATTCTCTTCATCATTTTTCTTCTCGTTTTGTTTTGTTTCTACCAAATTTGAAGAGGTGGTGGTGGTGGTGGTAGTGACGTAATGGAGATGAAAAATAGCCAAAAAGATATTGTCAAAAGTCAAAGGATGGTAGTAATGGCAAAGGTTGCTGGAGGTGATCATCAGAGGTCGTCGGAGGTTATTACTGATAGCCAGATATGATCGACAATGGCTTGAAGGGGCAATGGTGGGTCATGATAGTAATGTGTGCTGAAAGTAGAGTCAAACATGTGGGCTCACAAGGGTAAAATGAGAAAATGGACTAAATTATTTTGGGTCTGAACTTCATGAGTATTAAGTTCAGTTCAAAGGACCAGCCGTAACTTTCCCTTGTAACTTTAATTAGACTAGGTCAGATGATATTACCAAAAAAAACAGAAAAAAAAAAAAAAAAAACCTTCAATATATAGGGATGCACACCATAAATTCATCCAATTGTAGTTTTTACCACAAAATATTATGACTATCATCCTAAAGTGACCAAACATTTTTTTAAGGGTGTAAACCTTACCAGAATATAATATAATATTTATTTAGATTGTTGTTAGGTAAATTACAAATACACCTTTTGATATTTATTTAAAATATAAATTTTTCTCTGTGGTTGAAAAATTATAAATATCTCATTGCCATAATTTTTTATTTAACAGAATTAATTGAAAAAATAAAATTCCTATATGCTCTCATATACAGTGATAAAATTGCATAAATGATTAATTAAAATAAATTTCTAACATTATTAAAAACTGTTAATTGACTTTGATAATTTATTAATAAAAAGGACCACTTATTATAAAATTAAAAATTTTAATGGATAAGATGTAGTTTTCAGAATTACAAGAAAAAAAAAAAATTACTTTAAGCAAATTCTAGGTGATGTATTTGTAATTTATCCTTATTATTATTCTTTTGAATATCTATATAACGTTAATGTACATATCTAAATCGAAATCTTCTGTGGATTCTTCTATTTTAGCAGAAGCAGAGCCGATTAGCTTCTTCTTTAAATAAGGAACAATACCATCGGCATCCCGAGGTCCTTGGTAATCTTCTGCGGATTCTTCTATTTCAGCGGCAGAGGCAGAGCCAATTTGCTTCTTTAAATAAGCAACAATTCCTTCAGCATCTCGAGTAGGTCCTTGGTAATCTTGAATATGGTTCTCTCCCATTCTGAAGATCTTAATTGTTGGGAAACTCGAAATCTTAAATTCTCTTGCAAGGTCCATGTTCTTCTCTTCACTGACATCAACTTTAGCCAGGGTGACTGGAGGATCATGACTACTCAATACAGATGCAACTTTCTCATACTGCAAAAATCAATATAGATAGATATACATTATACATTATTAGCCAATGATATATATATGTTACTATCAACAATATAACCAGCTTGATGAAATCTTATGTAAACCCCCTCTGAAATTGGATACTTTCATTACCTCTGGAGCAAGTTTTTGGCAGAAGCTACACCTGTAACAGAACATAAAAATAATAATAAACATACCAGATAAACAGGGATTGTGATTCCATAATAATAATAATAGGCTTAAGGTTTTAAGTGGATATAAGTTCCAAATAATGTATGTTGGGTCTTGATATGACGTTTGTTGACTTTAGAATTTCTTCCTACTGGATTGGATTGGTATTGTTGTGCGTTTATGGGCTCCCTAATTCCCCAACAGGACATACTCCCCAAAAACTGCAATGCATCTATATAACGAACCGCTTGGCCTCATGAATTTAATAAGGAAAGAAAAAGCAGGAATAAAACAACCAAAAACAAGCCCAATCATGAGCAAGCACTGCACCGGAGTTGGTGAGTAACCAACAAAGCACCTCAATAAAGAAGGACAACAAAACCCAAACAAAGACAGAGCCTTTGGACAAGCCCAGGACAAAGCAGAGCTCAAAACAGAATAGCAGACCCAGCAAATGACTGCCATTTGAATCCCATCCACCAATCAAGAAGACCCTCTAGCTAGATTTGGACAGTATTTGGAGGCTTTTTAAATTATTTTGTAGAATAAATATGTAAAATAAAGAGTATCGTTCTAACATATAAATGAAAGATTAATTAGGTAAAATAAAATGCATGCCTTTTTCCATACTCTATCTAGTAAAAAATAAAAATCAGCATTGGAATTTCTCTAACCAGTAGCTGCATCCATGAAAACACAATACAATTTAATAGCAACCAAAAAAAAAAAAAAAACGCTACTCGTAATCTCTAGCCAAAAGACATAAATCGAATTTGCATATTGAAAAGAAATCATATTATGATCCAAAAATAGGAGTGTCAAACGCATAAGAAGAGCACAAGCACATTCATGAACATCACCATGCAAAAAAACATAAGACCTCTCTCAGTCAGCAACAGGACAAAGCAGAGCTCAAAACAGAATAGCAGACCCAGCAAATGACTTCCATTTGAATCCCATCCACCAATCAAGAAGACCCTCTAGCTAGATTTGGACAGTATTTGAAGGCTTTTTAAATTATTTTGTATGAATAAATATGTAAAATAAAGAGTATCGTTCTAACATATAAATGAAAGATTAATCAGGTAAAATAAAATGCATGCCTTTTTCCATACTCTAACTAGTAAAAAATAAAAATCAGCATTGGAATTTCTCTAACCAGTAACTGCATCCATGAAAACACAATACAATTTAATAGCAACCATAAAAAAAAAAAACGCTACTTGTAATCTCTAGCCAAAAGACATAAATCGAATTTGCATATTGAAAAGAAATCATATTATGATCCAAAAATAGGAGTGTCAAACGCATAAGAAGAGCACAAGCACATTCATGAACATCACCATGCAAAAAAACATAAGACCTCTCTCAGTCAGCAATGAACCACTAATTGACACATACTTAAAATCCAAGCAAAGTTAGCAACTATGAAAGCACCGACATTTTAAAACAAGTACCGTATCTGTATTGGACACCGTAGGAATATGCAGACATGCGAGAACAAGTATGGAACACTCCGGAAACACTACATGCCAAGTTATTTTTTTTCCATTTTCTTTAATGTTTTTGATGAATTTTAAATGTTTATTATTTATTTCTTAGATTTAAATACTTAACAGATCATTCATAAAAAAAAATATATAAACTGTAACTATTAATTTAAAAGTTTTTTTAAAATAAAAATATAGAATTAGAGTTAGTTTTTGTTAATATTGATTATTTGTGAATGTAGTATTAATATAGATAGCAAATAAAAATATATGAAAATATATTTTATTGTCGTGTCTCCGCTTTTTCCGTATTTCTATTTTTTTAAAATCGCCGTGTTCAATATTCTCATCCGCATCCGCATCCGCATCTGTATCCATACTTAGGTTAGCAATAATGTTAACTATTCTCATTTTAAAGTCCTCAAAATAACCATAGAAGGGCCAAAAAAAAAATAAAATCATCAAAAAAAAAAAAAATCTAAGACTGTATTTAGATCATGAATTTAAAAAGGAAAAGTAAAAAAAGCAGAGTTTCTAAATTCCCACAGAAATTTATAATTCAAATATGGTCTAAATGTAAATCATTTGGATGAGTGTATTTAAGTTTAAACTTTAAAAAATGGTTGCAAGGTTAATTATTGGAGGTAGATTTATAACTATGAAGTGGAGGATTAAATGCTTTTTTTCATTATGTTTTTTGTTGTTGATTTTTTGGCCTTTAATTTTCTACTCAAACGGATGAAAAAATATAAGATTGGAAAAAAGACCCAAAAAAAGGAAGGCAAAAAAATTTAACTCTTTTATTTCTTTTGTTTTAAAAAATCAATTTTTTTAACTTTTAAATTCGTCTACACTACAGAGACTGAAAAAATAAAAAATATACATATAATTTTGAGAAAAAGAAATTATAGTTTTATTTAGGATAAATTACAAACACATCATAAAAATTTTACTTTTTTAATTAAATCTGTTAAAGAAAAATCTAAGAGGAAAGTATTTGTAATTTTTCAAATTACAAGGACAATTCGTATTTTAAATAAATCTCAGGTGTATTTGTAATTTATCGTTTTATTTAAATGTTCCCAATTAACCTTAATCGTTGAAAAATTTGGGGAGAGATTTGAAAAAATGTAAGAGAAAAAGTGGGTAAAATTAAGTAAAATGTAAATTTATTTTACTCACATTTCACTTTACATTTTTTATTTTTCTTTCCAAATTTCTCATCAAATCTCCGATCAAACACAACTTTAGAGAATTAATAAAACAAAATTGAAATACATATACATACCCTGGAACGTAGAAGTGGACGACGATGAAGTCGTGGTTGCCAATAGTGTGGTAGAAGTTGGAGTGATCTAGATTCAGAACCAACTCCTTAGTTTCAGATCCAAACCACCCTGCAAATGACCAACCCATGATAGCCAAAACGAAGACCATGATCCATAACCTAGACTCCATTGCTTTCCTGCTAAGCTTTCTCTCTCTATAAACTCCTTTTCTCTCTCGCCATATCTCCTGGAGGAGCTTTGATTTTAGAGTGTGATTTTTCCGTGTTGAAGAGAGAGAGAGAGTACGAGACTTTTCACCGTTAGTTGAGAGAGACAGCGATTATACTCGCTATGTGTATGGCTGATTATTCAGGATCACAAAATTACCCGATCTGACCATGGTCTTGTTTGGTAGAGTTGTGGGAAAGTGCTTATAGCTTCTGCCTCAACAGCTTATAACTTATAACTTTCAGTTTAAACTGATTTTCAATTTATTCTTAAAGCATCTCCTACCCCATTCAAACAATAAGCTGATTTCTGACTTCTAAAAAACTATAAGTTATAAATTAAACTAAACACATCAAAATAACTTAAATTAAGCTGAAAGCTGAAATAAGCTGTAATTAAGATTTGCCAAACAGGCACTATATTAGTTTAAATTTAATTTTAATAAAAAAAAGTTTGAGAAAAAATTGGTAAGGTAAGAAAAATGCTTATGGTCTGAATTTTTATGATCTGAATAGTTCAAATGTGTTGTATTAAAACAATCGTTTTAACACATTTGAATTGTTTTAACACATTTGAACTATTCAAATCATAAATTTTCGAGTCACCAAACATTACTGATAAGGCAAAATTGTCAAAAATTAAAATAAACTATAAAATTATGTCATTAAAATAATTAAATTTAAAGTTAAGAATTTGCTCTCAAACCTAAAATATTCCAACCCGTTATTCACGTCGAGTAATCTCATTTGCCATATTGTATCAGCTGTTATTGTAAACAAAAATTATATATCAATATTTTTCATAAAAATAATTGTACATTAGTGAAAAATTTTGTCAACATTAATAATTAATGTCATAAAATTTTCAATTATAAAATCATATCATTAAATTTATCAACATTAATAATTGTATAATTAATGTTATAAAATTTTCAATCATTTCGTAATTATTTTCTTTTATTATAAAGATTGGAGTGTTTGATTTTCTAGCACACAGAAGTGTAGCTAAATTTTTATTTTTAAATAATTGCCTCTTGAAACGACAATGATTTTTGGTCAACCTTGTTCCACTACCAGCGTTGATTTGGTGTTTTTTTTTTTTTTTTTTTTTTTTTTTTTTTTTTTTTTTTAATGCGTATGGATTGTCAAATTTAAATATAACTTTATAAGAATTTGAGAGAGTGTTGACTCATTAAGTTTATTTCAATAATTTAAATTATATATTTTACAAAATGTTTTATGTATATTATTTATAAAAAAATTAAATTGATATGATAATTATAATATTTATATTTTCAACTAAATAGATGGTTTATTTTTAAAAATATTTTAAACTTTTATGATTTGGATCGATCTGATTTTTTTTTTATGAATGATGCATATTGAGAATCCTACTAAATGAATGGTTTAGATAATTAAAAGGGAACCCATGATCTCTAAAATTCTCTCAAATTCAAATTTAAAAGTAAGAGAAATTTAATATTTTTGTATTACATTTTGTAAATCAATGGGTTAGTGTAATGTTTTATCAAGTTTGAATTGGTGGTAAATGACAGGAGGCATAGTTTCACGTCCAGTTAAAAAAATTATTTTATTTATTTGTTTTTAGTAAGTTCTAAAATAAAAGTTGTGTCAAATTTTTTGTTTTCAGCCGTTTAATGTAGAAAAATTTTAAAAGTAAAAGTATTTAATAAATTAAAAAAAAATCGCTGAAGATAAAAATTAAAAAAAAAACAATAATATTACAAGTAGTGTGTTAATTTTTAATTTATCACAAATTCAATTTTATTAAACCCAACTCTACTGCCATGTCATTATGAATGAATTATATAACTTAAATTGTGAATTTTTAACATTTTTTTTTTATTATCATATTTGATCAAAAAATTGTTTCAGGAAAAATGACAATAACTATAGCAGAATCTTTTTGTAAAATGCTAATGTTATTAATGCCAAATAACAGAAAGAAAGTGCCAAACAATCAGGGGCAACCCTACACTTGCATGGGAGGGTTAAATTCAACCCATTCAAGTTTGAATTTTTTATATTAAATATATGAAACGTTATTTGTTCAAAACAGTTACATGATGAACCCTCTTAATTAGACTTGAACCCCTTTACTTGTTTATGGTATTCAACAAAAAGCAGTTTATATTTTTATTTTTATTTTTTTTTGATCGGAAAAGAAAAATTTCATTAAAAACATAAAATTTACAGGTTCAAGGAAATAATACGCACTGAGAGAGATTCGACGAGTAAAAATTCACTCTTCTACTACTACTACTCGCGTTCTTACAACCAACCCCTTATCCTCACGATTTTAAATTTGAAAAAACAACAAACAAAATAAATTAAAAAACCACACTCATGAGCCCCCACCTAAAACACAGCTACACACCCCAAACCACACTCTGACTCAAGCACTGTTACACACTTGAGCCCCACGCCTGACCCACCCACCCTGCACCAATGACAGACACTCAACCTCCAAACTGCCGAACCCTCAGGCTCCAATGCCGCCGAGCACCCTGCACCACCCGTGACCAAAACTACTCTTGCTTCACCATCGAGAACCACCCGAGACCGAAACTACTCTGCTTCACCGCTGAACAACGACAGCCTCTACTTGCTTCACTCTCCTCTACTTCAGTTGCTGCAGCCTCCTCCTTTGGGATCTCCTCCGTGACCCAAACAAACTCCTTCGATTGAAACCTCACCAAACAACGCTGGGCAGTCCCCTCTTTGTTTACCCAGTGCCAATCTCCTCAAAACCGAACACGGACACCGACCACCATAGAAAAGAACGGAAATCACCCCTCAAACTCCCATTCGCACAGAAGCGCCCGAATGGAGATCCTAAATAGCTCTAAATCCTCCACCCCTCAAACTCCTGCTCGCAAAGAAGTGCCCGAATGAAGTTCCTGAACCAACCCACCTCTGTTCAACGCTCCCAACCTAAACCAAGACCCACTGCTGAAGCTGAAACACCATGGCTGAAGCACCACTACCACCGATCCTTTCCAAACGAGAGAAAAACCCACCAAAATCACCCATCAAAGCTATCTTGGGCACCAAAGGAGGAGGCTACACAAAAACGAAATAACCAAAACAACCTAAGCAAATCTAGAGACTAGATCTGAAAAGGATAAAGAGAAAACTAAAGGGGCTCAAGTTTATTAGGAGAAAACCCAAGAACACAAGAAGAAAAAAGATAGGCCAGCCGACCGCCATGACCAAAGGCGGCGGCCGGCCGGCCAGCGGTGAGGCCCCGAGGTGGAGGTTTTTAGAAAGAGAGTTTTTTGAGAGAGTTGGCAACGGTTTACTTTGACCAAGTTTATATTTTTATAATATTATATACAGTGTGTATCCTTAAAAATGATATATTGTATCCACCCTACCACAATGTAGGTAATATAATCAGAATGTTCCATAACAAAACACTACAATATGCAATAATTTGTCACCAAAATAGTCCGTAACATTTCATATTACAAATAGTTTATAATATTTACGCCACACATGACATATCCATAACATTTAACACAATAATTTGTAACTCTAATTATAAGGGTAACTCGGACCCAATTGAACATGTCAGGAGAAGAGGTACCCTGAATTATTTATAAAAAAAACTTTCATTATAGGAATGCATACCATAAAGTATGCGAAACATTTCTTACCGTGTGCTACTTTTTCAAGGGTGCATGCACGCCTTAAATTTGTCCTACTATTGTATATTATTTGTTTACATTGTTATTATCCTTTTCGTGTATCATTTCAATGTACCTATCTTCTATATTGAAATCTTCTGTGGATTGTATTTCACCAGAAGCAGGGGACCTTTCCTTTATTAAATAAGCAACAAAAGCATCAGCATCTCGAGGTCCATAGTATTCTTGAGTATGGTTCCCTCCATTTCTCAAGATCTTAATTGTGGGGTAACCCTGAATCTTAAATTTACGTGCAATTCCCTGGTTTTTTTCTTCACTGGCATCAACTTTTGCTAGGGTGATTCGAGGATCGTAGAGACTCAGTACAGATGCAGCTTTCTCATACTGCAAATCAATATTATAGATATATACATTACACATTGTTAGTGAATGAAGTATATGTAACCAAAGTTGATCAAATCTTATCTGAACCCTCTGAAATTAAATGCTTTCAAGATTACCTCAGGAACAAGCTTCTTGCTCCAGTAGCACCTGTACCAGAACACCAATAATAAGAAGCATACCAGATGAACAGTCCACAATAGTATTCAATAAGTACTTCATGTAAATATAGTAATTGCATCCACGAAAACACAAACATTTTAATAGCAACAAGAAAAATGTTTTGTACCATTTTTATGGCTTGCAAGTATTTTCGTCATGTTTGGTTTGGTTTGGTTTGTTTTGTAAAAATTTTTTTTAGAATTTTGTTTAAGAAAATGGAAACTGATTTGATAAAAATAAATATCAAAATAATATTTTTAAAATTTATTTCTAACGTCTCAAAAGATAAAATTATTTTAAAATGACATGTATTTTTATTTCTTTTATCAAATTAATTTTTAGTTTTTCTATTAAAAAAAAAAAATCTAAGTCATTGGAATATCTCCAATCCATCACATTTCCCTTCATCAAATTTAAAGTGCTCAAAAATTATCTCCAATCTTTTTTATCAATTGTTCATCAAATCAAGAGAATCAATTTTTTCATCAAACAGTGAAGATGATTTTTTTTTTATTAATCAAATTTGATGAAAAAGAGAAATTTAGAATAAGAGAAAAAAAATTAAAAAGATTTTCACGAAAATTTGATGAAAAATTATTAGAATAGTTCATATTAAATCAAATTTTTTACTCAAAATTAAAATCAAAGTTGATGAAAAAATTGGTGAACGATTGGAGATAGTATGACAAAGAGCTACTCATAATCTCTAACCAAAAGACATAAATCCAATTTGGATATTGAAAAGAAGTCATATTATGATCCAAAAACGGAAGTGTTAAACTGCATAAGAAGTGCAAAAGCACATTCATGAACATCACAATGCAAGAAAACATAAGACCTCAATGACCACTAAAAATGACACTAACCTAAAATCCAAAACTTGAAAAAATGGTAGCAAAGTTAACTAGCTATCGGAGGTAGATTTACGATTTTGAAGTGGAGGATTAAATAAAAATAGAAGAGAGGTGTACTTAACTCTCCCTCAAGTGAGTTGAATTAGGAGACCAGTATTTCGTGCTTTGCAAGGATTAAAAAAATAAATAATAATAAAAAAAAGTGCATAAAGAATCCATATTATTACAAGAACACGAAGAGAATTAATGGAACAAAATTGAATTACAAACCATGGAGCGTAGAAATCGACGACGATGAAGTCGTGCTTGGCAACAATCTCAAAGAAGTTGGAATGATCTAGAGTCAGGACGAACTCTTTCGACTGTGAGTCCTCGTTTTCAGAAGCAGATGCCCCTGCAAATGACGGAACGATGACAGACAAAACGAAGACGAAGGACCAGATCCATAACCTAGACGCCATTGCTTTGCTGCTAAGTTTTCTCTCTCTATAAGCCCCTAGGTTTTTACGTTTCATAGTTTTGATTTTTCAAGTTAAAAAGAGTGTAGAGAGAGAGACAGCGGTAGGCATGCGGGAGACATTAAGGGTGTATTTAGTTTGATTTTGGGAGATAAATTTAAAAAAAAAAAATTGGAAGAAGAGTTTAGAAATTTTTTTGATTTGTTTGATTGTATATTTTGAAAATAGTTTTGGAGTATGGGAGTTTAGGATGATTTAATATTTTGTTGTAATTGAGTAGATATGTATGAGAGAAAAAATGATTCAGAAAGAGAGAGGAGAGAGAAAAAATAATTGATTGATGTGTAGAAGAGAGAGAAAATGACTTTGGAACAAAATTTTGGAATTTTTTTCAAAAATTGTGTTTTGAGAGTGAAACCAAACAAGGCCTAAGAGTTTGTTTGGAATGTGTTATATAAGTGTAATTTTTTATTTTTTTTATTTTTTAGGTTATATCATTTTTTTAATATTTTTTTTTGTAAAAAATAAAAAAATATATATTTATTTAAATCATTTCAAACAACCTAAAAGCAAATTTGAAAATATACGACAAATAGTAATAAAAAAAAAGTATTATTTACATTTTTTTTTTCGTTTTTCTAGTAGAAAGTAAAGTTGAGGTGTGTTTGGTTTGAGTTTTTTGAATTAAGTTTTTTGAAAATTAAGTTTTTTTATTTTGATATTTTTTTGTTTTTAGTGAATATTTTTTAAATTTTAAATATTTTTTTTACTTTTTAGATGCACCTTACTTAGATGTATCTAAAAAGTAAAAAATTTGTAAAAAAATAGTTTAAAAAATTAATAAATACATAAAAATACAAACAATGTACTGAATTCTCGTATTTTTTTTTATATTTTGGGTATTTAGTGAATTTTTAAAAGGTTTTCTTCACAAATTTTTTACTTTTTAGATACATCTAAGTTAGGTATGTCTAAAAATTTTAAAAATTGCTTAAAATATTTTAAAAAAAATAGTAAAAATAAAAAAATACGAAAAATAAGAAAGTAAAATTTTTTACAGTGTTTTTTGAAAAGTGAAACCAAGCATATACATTAATTTTCAAAATCAGTTGCCCTAATACTGGCTAGGATAGTTTTTGATAAAGTTGAAAATTGAATGCCACGTTTTTAAAATTGTTTGATAAAAATTAAGTGCTAAATTAAGAATAAGTTATTTGATGTGTAAAATAAAATTTAAAATTTGTTATTTTTAAATTATATATTTTAATTTTTATACTGTGATGATGGTGGTGGTAGTGGTGGAGTGGCATAGTGGTGGTGGTAGTGTTAGTAGTGGCGGTGGAGTGGTGGTGGCAGTAACGATGATAGAAATAATAAAATGATGGTGATATTCATGACAATAGTGATAATGGTAATGAAGGTGGTCGTAGTGGTGGTGGTGTAGATAGCATGATGGCGGTAGCGATAGCGGTGACATAGTGGTGATGGTAGTGAATCGTGATGGTGGTAGTAGTGGTAGTAATGGTCGTGACATGATGGTGGTGATTATAATAGTGGCGGTGATGGTGGTGGCATAGTGGTAGTAGTGACAATAGCATGATAATTGTGGTGATGGTGATGGTGATGGTTAATGCGATAGTGGTAATGAATTTATAATAATATATATCGATATTCATGTTTAATATTTATAAATTCAATTAGAATAAAATAAAGGAAAATTTACCCATAAGTCCTAGTTTCTGAAAAGTTGAACCATTTAGTCCTAAAAGTTTTTTTATGCTCCATTTAGTCCCATTTGCACATCAATCTAATGTTTGAAACATTAATCTGATGTTCAAAATCTAATGTTCGAAACATTAATATATTAATATGATGTTTGAAACATTGTAATGGGACATTTCAGTCTATAAGAAAACTTTTAGAACTAAATAGTGTATAAGTTATTAATTTGGGATTTATTGGTGCATCCCCTTTTTAAAATATCATTATATTTCACTCTAAATAATATTTTA